TTGGGACACTTTGAAAAAAGTCTGGAATCTGGAAATTCATCTGCAGTATGTTTATTTTTGCTCGCAAGCAAAGAATTAAAAACGAGATGACCGAAGAGTGGCATGTGTGACGGTCGAATAGAAATGCCCCAGTTGAACTATGATTTACGGATGCTCACTCGTGATGTCTCGGTTCTAAAAGGTCACAGTTACAAGCGCTCTAGGGTAGTTGGGTTGCTGGGTCTCCGGACTACAACATTCAAGCAAGTTGTTGCATTTTATCCAAGAGAAGCAAATATATCATACAATAACTAATAGTCAGCTGAACAGCTATCGCCTCCGCTCATGAGGATGCATGCGTCACGTGGATGAGTGATCAAATATGCAGGTGGAGCGACAAAATTTCAACGTGAACCTAAAATTACTCTGAAAAATGGCTGACATTGTACAATTCGAAAAAACCCAGAAACTGCTCATTTAACAGCTCATTTTGCATACGTTACGGTCATGTGGAGCCGGACGTAAATGGTTTCAAAATCGGAAACTAAAAAATCCGCCCCATGAGCGAGTGACATGTTAGCAACACAAGCCAAAATGCATTTTGTAGGTGTGTATTTTAGTTCTACAAAAAACGACTCTAGCAACCCCTCCCTGTTTTAATTTTGTAAAAGTTAACCATGATGATAATATGTGTGACAATGTAATAGTCTCGTATTCTAATGAGTCATCTTTCGAGCAGGTAGATTTTGTTTCCTGTTTATTCTCGTTTCGGGCTTGTAATTCAATACTGTACGAGAGACTCTGTGAGGTCGTGTGGAGATTGCGCAAGGTTTCCTAAACGGCATCTAGTCTAGCATTACAGCGTTAGCTCTTAACTTCATTTACTGCAGGCAGTAGGGAGGCACAGCTTTGTGGTTAACACCAGCCTACTGCTATATTTTGATAGAGTGAATTAATGCACCAAAGCTGCTCGAGACCAGGAACGATTCGAGAACTGTTTGGTTCTTTACCAAAACACAAATGAAACTTCAGGGGCAGTTTGTCCCTTGACAAAGCTTGCGAAACACGTGCCAGAGTGCACAAGGGCACATTTCTGGTAGCTCTAGTAGCCCTGTGACAAACGCTTGACAAACGACGTGCAAGAGAATAACGCTGCCCTCTCAGGGCCTATGTGTCTTTGCTCTCTGCAGACGAGTTGAAAAATCGTACTGTACAACTACCAAGATTAGCAGGCTACTTTGTTGCATTTTACGTGTGCAGGACAAAACACCATGTCCCCTAAAGTGTTCAATATCTTTAAAAGTCAGGAAGAACACAAGTCCTAAACGTCGACACATTGAGCTTTCCTGCTGTTCACAAATGCCTAGAGTAATGCGCATTTTTAACATCCCCTAAAAATTCCTTTATCTTCGTGGCACGTCCACACACACAGTGTAATCGGCATTGTGAGAAATGGTGCGCTTCAGTGCCGAATTATTTTAATGAATCCCCATCGATTGGTTGTACCAAAGTCTAATCGGCATTGTGAAAATTTGGTGCGCTTCAGTGCCGAATTGTTTTAATGAATCCCCATCGATTGGTTGTACAGTTATCAATCCCGGCATGTCGGGATGTGCCGCAATTTTACTTTGTGTTCACGGTTTCCCGAATATATGTCCTTCAGCTAATGACGACTTATCGTACTACGCTGTTCGTGTGAATAGCGGTGAAATCAACACATCGGCGTTTTTCAAGATTCCACAGTGTACACAGAAATGAAAGTGTCATCTTAGGGCCGGGTAGAATATTGCAAACAGTGTGTTTGTTTTAGCGAACCATTTAACGTAAGTCTAGATATTTGACCAATAATTCAAACTTGCCTTCATCAATTGCAATAGACCAACGTAAGTTACATTCACATTTTTGCCGATATATTCGAAACATGTTTTCCACGTTTATTAGGAATTTAGCAATTCATGATTGTCCACTACGGAAAAGGAAAGCACTTAAGCAACAATCTTTCGTATATTGCCCCATAGTGCGACAAGGTACCGTAATGTAAATGCCAAAGCTGGAGAGAGCAGCCACTTTTGGGGGACGTATAGTGGATGTAGCCTCATCTTAAAACTGTGTAGTTTTCACCACAGAACACAGCGTATCATTTAAGTTGGTTATCTAGTGGTTTGAGGACAGACGTTTGATTAAATTTCAAATAGGAGTCTTCTAGAAAATGATGGAGTCGCCATGGGTTCTCCTGTTGTGTTACATGTTTATGGGCACACTAGATCTCATTCGATTGAATGGGCCGATCACTAATCATCATCATCATCATCATCATCATCGACAACGATTCCGAGGTACGTACACCTCCAGACATTCGCCCAGGCAACCTGAATAGAAATTGAAAACACAAACGCCACATCATCATCACATCGACAACGATTCCGAGGTACCTACACCTCCAGACATTCGCCCAGGCAATCTGAATAGAAATTGAAAACACAAACGCCCGCCATGTCGGTTGGCAGCCATAATTTCTGGTGCCTCCAAACAGGCACAATAAGGATCANTCTTGTAATGTCTCCAACCAGGCACAATAAGGATCACGCGGTCCCCATCCTGGAAGGCGAGTAGCACCGATAGCACCCAAGCGTTTCGTGATCTCCTTCATACCTCTCTGCCGAATCAAGTGTTTGCCACCTCTCTCTTTACACCACTCTCAAATGGACATTGACAACAGCATTCTCTTTGGCAAACTTTGGTTCGGCATACGCAACACATGTCCTAACCAACACACACGGGTTCGCCGGAACCAACCCACACGAACTGTGATTCCGAGACAATGATTTTCGAACGCCTGAAGACGTCTCAGTTCCGCTGCTTGAATAGACCAAGTCTCACAGCCGTGCAACAAAACAATTTGTACTATAGCTTGATACATGTACCTTTAGATTGAGAGATAAGCCACTCTGACACCACAGGTGTCTCAACTTAGCAAACGCGACACGACTGCCTTGCAGATTCGTGCATTCACCTCATCTGTCACACTGCAATCAGAACCAATACGACTTTCAAGATATGTTGGGAGATCAAACGTACGAACGTTTTGTAGAAAGTACGAAGGTGATCGTATCGAACGGTTTCAAAATGGATGCTCTCTTCAGCCGAGCACATACCTCCATCCAGTTCACATTTGAAAATGAACGTGACAACACTTTCCACTTCCTGGACGTTAAGTTAGTCAGACATTGCACGGGTTCAATTCAAAGGTCGATCGACAGAAAGTTCACGCTGACGGGACAGTACAAAAACTTCCTGATATTTGTGACACTGATGCGGAAATGAACCTTAATTCACACTCTAAAGGACCGAGCAACTCGTGTTTGTTCTTCCAATACACTAGATTCTGAATTGCAATACATTACCAACGTGCACGAAACCAATCGTTACCGGAGAGATTCATACTCAAGAATATGTTCGACCGTTTTATTCAACCAACTGTCACGGCGTTTGGACTGAAGCTCATGTACTTGAATTTACTGTACAAAGGCGATCTGTTGGCGGACATTGTCAATGGCCGCTGGTTTCAATCCCGAAAACACACGCTTCGGGCTGAAACTCTGCGGTTTTGGTTTGGTTGGGCATTCTTTCGCATGACGTTGTTCAGCGGAGCATGATGAGCGCATGACACGGTAATTTTCTTAAGGAACACGTGATCGCCTGTCTTACCGGGATATAATTATACTCAACAGTTCATCCAAAAGCTCAGTTGCGTCTCACTTAATTGACACCGGGCATATAGTAATTCTGAATGAGTCATTCCATGTCACCAGCCTAACAGACTGCCAGTATCAATCTAAAGGCTTTGCCTGACTACAACCGAGGCAATCGCTATACGTCTGCGAAACCCGGTACAGTTCTGTCAAAAACGTTTCGCACAAACTCTGAATCTTCCCTTGTTGTGGGAAACCCGACGATACTTTAGAGTGTCTCATATCATTCAACTAAATGCAATATGTGGAGTGCAGGCAACCATTCTTTCGTGTCTTTACGTTTTCCAATTCACTAACCGAGCTTTGCTGCGTATTTTATTTTTTGCTCTCATTTCAACCACCAGATATGTACTGACCTGGTGACGGGTTCCCCATTGTGTTCTGCTTCAAATCATGGGGGCATTTAGGCAATTAATGGAACGCAAATGAGCACTATAAATGAAAACTCCCCACTTTCCGAAACAAGGAAACTGGGCTTCCACACCGATTGACCACAGTAGCCTCTTGGTAACATTTAGTAGCTTAAAGTTTTATTCGATGCACACCAGCGAGAGCATTTATGTATTTTTGGGATGTCCAGCCTACCATTACAAGCACTACTGTGCTATACCATGCAGTTTATTGATGGCAAATTGCGCAACACCTTAAGGACCTCTGTAACTTTGGTTGTTCAATTTCTCGCAGCTTTCTAGATGTGTGCTCATGCCAGCCATGGAGCAGGAATATATTACTTTCGCAGGATAGCTCAAATCTGCATGAATATATTGTTTATCTAAAGTCGACCAACAAGCTAACGCACGGGGTTAGAAAATATATCATACAAGATTGTACCGTCTACAGCACATAGCATATAGAATGTGCTTTGAATCAAAGTTTACATGCCTAAATTGGGTCTAACGGCAATTCGACCGAACTGAATATCAAGAGCCACCGTAACCAATTAGGTCAGAAACATCTTAGAAGCTTTCTACAAACCAGTTTTGCCCTAAGAACTTACGGCACACTTTGTCGTGGATTGTCGTGAATGAACCTTTATATTATTTTTTCCTTTCCAAAACGACTTTTCCAATATTATAAGGCAAATGTCAGGGTATGGAAGCAAAGTTCTCGACGACATTCTTGAATGACTGTTTATGCACCAATCAACAAGATGATTGCTGTGCGTTAGGCACTTGGTTATTTCCAGCGACACATCTCACGACTAATAAAGTTTGAAAAATGCCAGCACAAAATAATCCGGAAATATATTTTACTTATATTTGGATTTAGCGTGGTCGGAGGGACCAGCAGTTGGAGGTAAGTGACATTTTCATTGTATGCCAGGGTTTGATTCACCTAACAACAATAAATGAACATGATTGTGAACGAGAGATTTTTTGCTCATGTATAGGAACTTTTACCTGAATAAAATGTCTGCCTCGCAAGAAAAAACAAATTCATTTGTATCTAAAATGGCTAATATTTAGCGTGATTTCTTGATAGCCAATAACCCAGCATATATGGCGGTGTAAAAAACAGTGTGAAGAGCGAGCAAACTTGATCAGATACACTGTCCCTAAAAAAGTACCGTTAGATTGTTTGAAACTGGAGTGGGTAAAAGGCACTGTAACCCTACCTTTCTAACAAAACTCCCAGTGATTTCAGGTTTCGTAACCTACTACAAAGTGAGCAACGAAAACAACTTTGAAGGAACTTGATTCTCATGTCACAGAGCCATTTCGCTCATAGAGGATATAAGCTTCGGAGACAAAACCCGAACAAACTCATGAACACAGGTCCGAAACTCCCTGATAACTCCCGACAGCGGTTATATTCCGTTCGAGACTTTGCAGCAGTCTTATGAATAGCGTTCCATTAAGGCGACCACTCATCATCATATCTACTGAATGTTGAGGACAGGGCTGAACGGCACTGAGACAGAAAGCGAAAGATGTTGCTTACACTAACAAATGCATCACTCACTTCTGCATCAACTAAGCTGTTCGATATCATTTCGACACTCCTAAACACTCCCTAACGACTTTTAGCCTTGGGTTGGAAAAACTATTAGCGAAGTACTCTTACTGGCCTTTTAATTTTCTATTCACGAGAGATCCGACATAGCCCCTCGTTTATGGTCGTCTATAAAATTAGATATATTACCACAAACAATCTGACAATATTCGTACGGTGTTAGCAACCACTATCTCAGGTGATTCAGCGTCTGAATGAAATTCCAGTTGGCTCCGATGCTAGGCAGTTTAAGCAATTACAAATTTCGGCTGGTTTGGGGCCTGTTCCAGTAATGTCTCTGGAAAGCGGGATGGCCCAAGTGGTTAGACCGTGAATTTACCGACCGGAAGATCCGTGGTTCGAACTCGACCTTCGTATCTCAAAGACTGCCGTCTAGGCTTGAGCGAAACGGCAACATCCCGGCCTTCGTGATTCCTCCGGGTGACAAGGCAACTGGGCCGCAGATGAATACTACAGCTATTATTAGTTAACGTATTTCTCTCCCTTTTATAGTTTGCGTGGATATGAGGAATAATAAATGTGAGCATCCACATCGAATGAATCCATAGAATATTTTGTTAGACCAAGTTTTGCGTAACAAGCAATCAGTATGTCAAGTGTAAAACTGTTTTTTTTTAAACTGCTATAAATTTCGAATGTCAAATGGGGTATACCGCTTCGCAATATTCGTAGCCCACCAGAACTGACACAGTATGAATTAGTTAGTAGGCCAAGATGGCCCCTTTGACGGGGAAACCTGGCGGTTTATATGGCGCCACAACCGTCTCATCAGAACAAGGGTAATTTTATTCCAAAATATTCTCGGCCACCGTGGATAAGAAAAAGTGAAATAGGAACCTGAAGATCAGAGGTTGAGGCTTGAAATTTGAAAAAGCTAATCAAAGTACCCCCTTAGAGTTCCTACTGATCAACACACAGGTACATTCATCAGTTTGTGCAAAATTCTCTCATGGCAGTGGGCTATTTATCGGTCACAGTTATAACTTGAAAATGAGTACTACAAGACAGGAAAAAGTGGGAATTGCTTTTCAACGCACATGAATCCGCAGGGAGTGCACACGGAACCAATGAAAACATCTGTCATCCATCGTGTTAGTTAATCGCAAAAAGTGGTACGAAAATCAATGACAGAAAATACCTATCAAGCAGACATTTGTCAACTTCCGTTAACTTTGTCTTCAAGTCACAGAAGTTACGCCACATGGAAAATGCCGGGCTTCATTTCTGCCTATTATTGTGTAAACAAACGTTGGTATGCAACAATTAGCCATGAAGGGGTGGTAGTTGTTTCTTCGCCAGGTTAACTTCCACCCCCGTTCATAAAGATAAAATGTGGCGATTGTAAACTGTCTGAAAAGGTAATTGTTTCAAACAACTTGTTGGAACTAATGGATGCGACGTAATTTAGTCATAGAATAACAAGTATTCACTCAGTTGATTTTACGGGTTAGAAACTCTTAGTCAGAAAATGGTGGGGAATACCCAGCCTGATATGGTTCGCACCGGTACTTTTTGTGTTTTCCACCAGAACACTAACGAAAATATATTTTTTCACTAAATACGTTTCACCGTTTGTGAATGAATGTTCCTCGTCTTTTCCCGCTTCCTAAAAATTCACCAATCTTGGACGATACAGGATAATTTGCAGTTTCTGGTTAGCTTAGAAACTAAAAATATGGTCATGCAGGCTGGTTTTTCCATGGGTTCACTGGGATTGAGTTTATCGATCGTATTTCACATGTAACCCTCGGGACTTCTAATCGATCATTAACTATTTGCGCACCATTTAGTGTGTTTCTCGTACCGCGTAAGTGGTGAGTCTTATGTGGTGAGCTTGTATGATTTTGATGTGTCTGGCATCCGAAAAATTCTTCCTGCTTGTTCAAAAAGTGAATCGGCACTATTCACTGTTCTTATGTGAACATTTATTTGGCTGTTCCGGTTTAAGCTCGGTAAAACAAGAATAATGAAGCAATTGAACATGGGGTAAGTGCTGAGCACAATCTTGTTTGGCTGAGAACTCGGAAAGCACGAGGACGCAAGTAACTTTCCTGAGATTTGGTAACAAGCAGCGCCGATTTGTTTCGACAAACTGACATCAGGTATTCCAAGTCTTATGGCTCCCTACAACCTTATTGTCGTATGTGGAACGGCTGAAAAAACTTGGTTCACAAAGCAGGTTGCCTACATTCAAACTCAAAATCACACTAAATCAGAGGCAACTCACTATTACTCTGCACAATGTGTCATTTATATGAGTCTCACATTCGAACTAGCATGAGCTTCATCAATTGCACCAGTAGGATAAGTGCATTTCGGGTACCGATATATTTCCGGTTTTTCTCTAGGCTATGTATTCTTGATACAGAAGTAGTTTCACCGCCATACGTGATGACATTATCGTGTTGCCGAGCAGCTGGTCGTCACTGATGAGGAGTGCAAACGGCCGTACAAGTCGGGAGCGACTACCAGGTTGAATGGAAGGAAATTTTGAAACATACGGAATACTATACTGCGAGTCATCGGTTCAAGCATGTAAACTCGCCAAGTTGTCATCACAAAGCGAATGCAAAGCAAACTGTTGGTGTTAAGTTCTTGAATGTCAGTCAAGCCAAACGACTAAAAAGAAACGAAGGCGGAAATAAATTGTGCGGACATATTGTGATCCTTAGAAACTAGGGAATAATACACGAAAGGTAACTAAACAACCGGAATAAGAGCAGCCAAATATCAAAGAAAAATTGATTGACACGAACAAAGTTCATTACTAGTCCATTTTTCGAAGCCTCTGGATTCCCGTTCACATCACCCAAGCGTAAATATGTTTGCCTGTTCAGATATGATAATCCAAATGCGTTTAGCATGAGCTTGTGGCGAAGGGGTTATCCTCTCTTCTCACATGGCAGATGTTCGGAAATTAAATCTCGGTGAGGCCAAGAATATGCGCTGCTGGTACGACGAGGTGTGTTCAAACGTGAGTGACCTGAATGAGCATTCTACAAATCCCGCCACCACATTCAACTGAAATCAGAAGAATCAACATCACAGACATTCGTTACATAGCTGAAGTCTAATTCCGAACTCGCCTCAACTGCAATAAGTCAAAGCGATGGGTTGAGCGCCAAGTTGGGGTTTGACGGGGAAGCTAACTGAAGCAACCAGAAAAGCCTACATTTTACAAAAAACGACTTACGATCTGAACATATTTGGTAGACGCTATTTAAATCTGCCATCAAGAGACATGATCTATTATTCTCTTATTGGATGGCAGTGGGGGAAATTTCGTCTAAACAACCAGAAACCACTTGCCTCCGGGTACGAATCACGCAAGCATCGCGGTTTGCGGTAGTTTCGATTAACTAACTAGTGTTAAACAGCGTGCATAAACGAACAGATATTCAAAAGGAGCATTTAAATGGGTCCAACTCTTGGGCTAACTGGGCGAAATTCGGAGGCACCAAGGGAAAATTGCGGTTGGATACCGATCACTAAATAAAAGCAGGAAACTTCTGGGGTCACAAACCAACTGTATCTCGTTGGCTGAATGATGGGTTGACAGACTAACAGTAAGTCTACCGGGACAAATCACTCGGCCTTCTCATAAGTTAACCAGGCTTGGTAACATCTACGTAAACGCACGCGTGAAGGTATTCGACACATGACCACCAACAACGCTGCGCTATGCGTGAGAAAGACTCATCGTCTCGGCTGCCGACAAAGACAGGTTGCAACATGTTGCTAAGGAATAAACGAATGCCACATTTACATTTGATTTTCTTTTCTGGCAATAATAGAAGCCGATGCCTTAGTACGAGAAGCAGCCTTTCGTTCGGACATTCTGCTAGAAAACAATGTTGTGTTTAGATTACTTAACCAGCTAATTCAAATTATTAGAAGGTTAAATATGATACCTGCGCATTAATTCAGCTCAGACCATGGTATAAACACAGTATTGTCCACAAACCATCGTGGTTTACAGTAGAAACGTGACAAAAAGTGTTGCTAATTTTCAAATATTTGAGAAACGAGTTGCGGGCATCATTAGGTAACCTTTATAGACTTTCACTTCCAAAAGTAAAGCAAAAGACTTTCGCGGTGGAACAGATGATGACCCGCAAGCTTTTGAACCGAAATTCGATGAAACAACCGAACCTAACAATATTCGACAACACATGTGATGAAGCAATTTAGCTCGTAGAGGTAACGCATATCATAAACAATAGATTCGGCCTTGTTGCAGGTGAGTCTGTCGTCAAAGTCGAATTGATGTGCAAATGACTGAATTTCGCTAAGCTCAGGTATTACTTCAAAATTCAGTGTCATCTTTGGACATTAGCGCTCAATCCGAGAGACGATAGGACTTGGCTGTTAGGTAACTGTAACGACAAATTACTACCATTCATTTTATACAAGAGTTATGCTGAAACTCCTATCTTTTGTTTGGAGGTCTCAAACTATATACGCGAGTCGATGCATCAAAGCCACATTCTATAATCCGCCTTCATCATTTTACAGAGGAGTTAATGAATTCTGGCGAGTCTCAATTTTTCTTTATATATGGCAGTCAGAGAATTTGGGAGAATATTTTGGTAAACAAATTATTCAATTCAATCCATAAGTAACTGAAATACTTAACTAGTAGTTCCCAGACTTCGGTAAAAGTTTGGATCTTGTAGGTAGTGTGCACCATAGACAAGGCCAAATAGTTCACGAAAGGTTGTGCACTTTCCATGGTTTCATGTAATCTGTTGGCGTTTTGCAGTTATGGGCAACTTCTATCGCAATGTGGTTATTGAAGCTTATCACATTGTTGTCTATTTAAAAATTATCTTATCAGCCACCGTAAAATGTTTAGAAATGAGTGGCCTCCTGATAGCTTCTCACAAGATACTCCAGGGGCAGACAGATGAGTCGATTAGGACATTTTCAAATTTTATTAAAAACGGCTCAGTGTCTGGAACCCTGTGTTCTTCATGACACGATGTGGAGCATTCGGAATCGCCAAACAACTAGACTGGAACTAGCATTTTCCCTCCGATGTCTTCCAACTATTGTTTGGTTTGGATCGCTTCTGGTTAGTCTATCTATTAGGTCCAAGATGTCTCATTCATAATGAACACAAAGACGATATTCGGTAAGCGTTTTAGAGGGTTGGTAACAACTAGAAATGTGTAGAAAGATAGATGAAGGAGGATGGTGCAATCAGATAAAACTCACTGAACAAATCAGGACAGAATCGGATAACAGGCAGGTAAAAAACAACCAAAGGGATAAACAACCTGTATGTACATACGTTTGGGGAACACCGCCTGAGCATTAAGAGGATATTGATAGCCTGACGGATAACAATATATATAGGCTTATAAATAACAGAATAATATCTAACATACAACTTGGCAGAAAAATATGCTATTTGTTTTCTTTCACAAGTTACTGACTTTCGTTTGAACCCAATTTTATCCCACAGTAATAGTGAATCCAGGCAAAAAATTGACATGTTAGTTTTCAGTATTAACATATGCAGATCAAATTTGCACTTGCTTATTTTAATGTGATTTGTTAAATACTAAATATTTGGAACCCAAGTTATTCTCTTTCACAATACCCTTAAATTTAAATTTCGCTTAATTCAAGACAGTGCAATTTAAAGTCCACTAACCATGAAAGGGTGAAAGTCTGTGATAATTAGAATAGCGGTAGGTATCTTGAATACCGAATGTACGCGTAGTATAGAAGTGCGAATATGGACGAATGAATTTCGTATATTCTCGAATATCGCGGGCGTACAATCAATCGCATTGTAAAACAAATGCATATAAAAATACACGAAACAGAATGAATAGAATAGAGTTAATGTTCACCACAAGGTCTTCGATGAGATGTCTTTTTATTAGAAAATGTTAACTGGCTAGTTACAGACCGCTGAAAAAGCAAGCAAAACTCTCATTTGCATCTCATTCACAGAAACTGAACAGTCCACTAACCATGAGCGGGCGAAAGTCTTCGCTGAGATGTTTTGTACTATAAAATGTCAACTGGCCAGTTACAGACCATTGAACAAGGAAGCTGTCCATCTTCTCTTAACGCGTCTTCCTAAATTTTCCTTGATATCCATTGACTGCTGCTCAAATCCGAACAAATTCTACAATGTGACCTCTGATTCAGCAATGAATCTCCTTTCAAGAGACGCAAAGCGGATATACAAGGATCAAACATACTACACGCATGACTCCCCCATCAGCAATATCAACTTTACACACCTTCACCCTTTAAAGGTCGCTCGCACGCCATCGATTTTCATTTGCCTCCGTCAGGTGACCGCTGCTCAAATCCGAACAAATTTTACAATGTGACCACAGATTCCGCAATAAATCTCCTTTTAAAGAGACGCAAAGCAAATATACAACGAGCAAACATACTACACGTATGCCTCCCCCATCAGCAATATCACATTTACACACCACCCTTTAAAGGTCGGTCGCACGTCATTTGCCTCCGTCAGGTCGGCTTCGTCAGCGAGTCTACTCGGCCAAAATTCGCGTGTGTCGTGCCACTTAAGAAGCCGCGTCCCATTTACGCTTTTTGATCTCCGACCGTCTTGAATTGCACAGACGTTTCCCCGGCAGTCGGTAACGACAAAAGGCCCTTGCCATCAACTATATAGCTTCCGTGTCATGCCACGTACGAAGCCGCGTCCCATTTACGTTTTTCGATCCCCGACCATCTTGAATAGCATAGACGTTCCCCCGGCAGTCAGTAACGACAAAAGGCCCTTGCCATCGACTATATAGCTTCCGCGACCTCAGTCCACTTCTATGAAACGTTCGTGCCTTTCCACTTGCTGTTTTCTAGCTAGTCCTTTCCTGGACTGCGGTTAAATTTTCTCGGGCTCTCCTTCTTTCTTCGTCAAGCTCCTCCGGAAACAAGCGTCATGCTGGCCTCAACCCGATTTTCCGATCAACCGGAAGGCCCGGATGTCGAACACACTTCAGTGTAAACGGGGACTTCCGTGTGGTTGACTGTATGGAAGCACGATGAGCTAGCAACAACATTAAAAGTTCATTTCCCGTCACCTCCTTCGGCGGCCAGCCACTCCTTGATAGTTCGGTTATTGCGTTCGGTGAGGCCGTTCGTTTCCCCTTCGGCAGCCACTCCTTGATAGTTCGGTTATTGCGTTCGGTGAGGCCGTTCGTTTGCGAGTGGTATGATGTCATCGTTAGCCGTTTGATGCCCAGCTTCTGCAAACAACTCCTAAAATCTCCGCTGCCGTAGCAAGGCCTCTGATCATTTTTGTCGCCCCAGAGTTGGCTACGATGTGATGCATTACCACTCCGCTGATCGTCGTCGCTTGCTGATTAGGCACGACTGGAGTTGGCTAGTGATGCATTACCACTCCGCTGATCGTCGTCGCTTGCTGATTAGGCACGACTGCCGTTTCGATCCCCGGCAGCAGGTATTCTATCACTATCACAATGTATTGACTCCTGCTGGTTGTCACCGGAAAGGGACCCATGACGTCAACGGACCACCCCAAGTTTGGCTACGATGTGATGCTTTACCACTCCGCTGATTGCCGTCGCCCGCTGATTAGGCACGGCTGCCGTTTCGATCCCCGGCAGCAGGTGTTCTTTCATTATCACAATGTATTGCCTCCTGCTGGTTGTCACCGGAAAGGGGCCCATGACGTCAAAAGGACCACAACTCACCGATTTGTGAGACAGGAATATGTTCCATGGGATGGGGTGGTACCTTTCATCATTTGGAACCGCTTACAGGGCACCACATAATCCAATCACCTCAATTCTTATCCCGGGTCAGTAGGCCCTCTGCCGAAGTAAGTCGTACGTCTTGGTGCACCCTGTATGTGCCATCTCGTGGAATTCGACGTTAAGATTCCATCTCAAGACGCGAAGTATCACGGGCAGTACAACTCCCGAATCAGTGGTTTTCCGGGAAATTATGCCAGATTCATTCATGCTCAACCAAACAAAGTGACTATGGAACGAATCCAATTCCTTGTCTGCCTTTTCGTTCTCAATGCTCCTTCCATCCAACAATTAAGATTCCATTTCAAGACGCGAGATCTCATGGGCAGCACAACTTCGGAATCAGTGGCTTCTCAGGAAATCATTTCAGCTTCATTCATGCTCAGCCGATCAAAGTGAATATGGAACGTATCCAATTCCTTGTCTGCCTCTTCATTCTCAATGCTCCTTCCATCCAACAAGGCGGCTGCAACCATTCGTAACCCAGGATCCTGCGATTGCAGTTACACCAACCTCCGAGGATCCAGTTCGACGATGAGGCCACTAGTTCCAGTCATGATCCCGGGGGCTTCATCTTCAGCCTCTGGTCCTGACAGCCAATCAGCCAAGTGGTTCTCCTTTCCTGGAACGTGCTTGATTGTGAAGTCGTACACTTGCAACCGAAGTGCCCAGAGCGCCAGCTTTCCGCAAGTGTCTCTGGTAGTCCTGATCCACTCCAGGGGTTTGTGATCGGTTTCAACACGAAATCCTTTTCCAAGCAGATATAGCCTCCACTTATCCAGGGCCCAGAGAATTGCTAAACATACCTTCTAAATGCTCGGGTACTTCCGTTCAGCGTTAGTCAGGACATGACTGGCATATTCGATAACTCCATTCCTCTGCTTTAGGACTGCGTCGATACCGCGATCGCTGGCGTCCGTTGCCACAGTGAACGTCTCTCCGACCCTGAGTAGTTGGAGGGTCAGTTGCTGATCCAACGCCCACGCTTTGACACGCTCAAAAGCCTCGAGCGCTTCTTCGGTCCATTAGGATTTCCAATTTTGCCCGAGTAAGTCGTACACTGGCACAGCGATTTTGTTGAAATCCTTAACGAACCTCGCTAGCGTCCGTTGCTACAGTGAACATCTCTCTGACCCTGAGTAATGGGAGGGTCAGTTGCTGATCCAACGCCCACGCTTTGACACGCTCAAAAGCCTCGAGCGCTTCTCCGGTCCATTCGAATTTCCGATTTTGTGCGAGTAAGTCGTACATTGGCACAGCGGTTTCGTTGAAATCCTTAACGAACCGGCTGTAGTATGCTGCTCGTCCAAGAAACTGCCGTAGAGACCGCTTTGAATTGGGAACAGCACAATCCTCGATTTCGCCAATTATTCCGGCAGTGGGATAACTCCTCCGTTGCCCACTTTATGCCCCGGCAGTGTCACCGAACTCCGCACGAGCTGTGTCTTGGCTTCACTTATCCGCAGGCCAGCTTCCCGATCCGCTTTCATACAGCCTTCAAGTGAACTGTGTGTTCTGGTTCCGAATTGCTCTACACAACTATATCGTCTCCGTAAGCGGCAACATTCTGCAGTTTCTTCGTT